TTATGGAGAAAGACTAAAAAACCATAAGTAACAAGCATTACTAACGTACACTTATGCCTATAGTGTTTATTAAAAACAACTTCATTCTTAGAAGAGACAGAAGTTCAGTACAAGTATGTCTCAGTAATGAAGGGGAGGAAATGGACTTACTGGTAACTTTTTTTCCCTCTTTCTTTCTCTTTTTCCATTTTAAGCATTCGAACTGTCCTAAAGCTTTAGTGTGAAACAGGGACCTTCCAGTTGGCCAGCAACATGGTAACTGTCCTTTTAGAATGGAAGTTCAGCTAGAAGGTGGAATAGAGCAAATGAAGACTCACTGGGACTAGGAAGACTGTATTATAGGGTGAGCATTCTGAAGAGTAAATAAAATACCCATAACCACTGAATAACGTTACACAATTAGCACTGGTTGTGGAACTTCTATTTCTGTACTTTTCCTTCAAATTTCATAATGCCTAACTCAATCTACTTAATAAAAACTTCTATCTAACCAGTGTTTGAATTATTGAGCATTGAGACTATGCCTATGATTGTCCTGTCTTACTGTTTTCTTCCAGTGATTTTACAGTATGCGTGTACATGAGAGAAAAAGAGCATTCTTCAGTCAATAGCAAATGAGGGAGATTCATGACACCAGGCGGTTTGCTATGCACAGCGGTGCTGAGAAGCAGCACTGATGGGCTGTAACTGCCTTGAGAGAGAGGCAAGGACTCCAACAGCTGCTGACCTTCTGAGGCTGTTCTAGGACTACAAAGGAGGCACCATCCAGCTCTACCTTGAAGGCAACTGTAGAGCAGAGTGTGGTTGGATGTATGACCCAAGCGTCCAGGTGTACCCATGTTCAATCGAAGTCCACATTCAGCCTTTCTTATCTGGCTCATTACAGTAGCTGTAGGCAGGCCTGCTGTAAAGCTGGTAGCATAAACTGCTCCGGTCACTTGCCCTAGTGGTGCCGTCCCAGAGTTCAGCAGCACAGGTTTGCCATTTCCTTAAACTTACTGGCAACTAAGGCAGCCTTTGCAGCCAACCCTGCAAAACCAGTGTGGGATTGTTACCTCTGTTTAGTCAGAAACGGGATCATGCCATTGAAGCGGGGAGTGTTACTATTAGAGCAACCATCTGCTCTCGAGGGGTGTAGACAAACAGTGGAGAGCATTTTGGGATAAAGGTTTCACCGTTCTGTGGGATTTTTGTTTGTTTGAGGAGGAGGAGTTAAGTCTTAATTTTGGACTTGCAGGCGTTTTTTTTCTTAACCACAACTAAGTCATCTGACTGGATAAAATGTCTTTGAATTGAAATGTGGAAGCAGTGCCACAGGTACCAAAAAAACCCCAGAGAGGAACAGCAGAAGACAGACTGCAGAGCAGAGGCAGAAAAGCTACCCAGTTAAAGAGAAGTTAGATACATAACAAGTCAGTGCTTTTCAGTGAACCAAAGACACTGCTTAAGAGAAAAGTTTCGTGTAGTAAGGGAGTCTGATCAAAACAACTGTTACAGAGAACGCTGAATGCAGTTACCTCACTACAAGAGATTCCCTCTCACCACTGAGGACTACCTTACCCCAAGACACTGCTGTACAACTGGCACAGTAACATCGTTTCCATCTGTCACTGGAAAGCTATTCCTGGAGTGTTCTGAGAACAGCTGAGGTAGATGTATTTCCAACTGCATTTCAGACACAGTAAACAAAGTTAACTCCTGTGAATGTCATAATAATTGAGTGTTGAGCATCTGGAAGAAATGAAAACTGAATTTGTACCTGAGAAGTGATTCACAGCAGTGAAGTGATTCTCAGTACCCTGTTGCTCCAGAAATGCTGGCTGAACATTACTCAGTAGAAAACCTTCTGTCAAGCTGTTCCAGCAAGAGTCCTCTATAACTACAACATGGTATCAACAGAATATTAGCTCAACATCTTAGCAAAACTCCCTCCCCACTGGATCAAACATTTAAAATATTTATACTGTAGCAGTTGTTCCTCTAGGCTGCACAGACTAAATCAAGATGGTACAAACACATCTACATTACACTATTACTTTAGAGAATCTGCATCTTACGAGTATTTGTGGAAAGCTGATCTTGTAATGCCAGGGTAAGTCAACAACAAAGACAGTTAGTGATACCAGAGGACTCAGGTCGAAGACTTTGAGCTTCTTCCCGGCCTGACGAATTATGCCCTAGCCATTATGTAGCAAAGTTTCCAGAGTGCTGTGTCCTGCAAAGCACTTGACTGAACAGAGCACGTTTGAAGTAGTGTCTTCAAAGTTGCTCAGCCAATAAATACACTCCAGCACAAGAGCTTGAAACCCATTCTTGGTGATGAGGGTACTGCACTGAACTGTATCGTCTTGACAACCGTAAAGAACATACTGGACAAAAAGTTACCACCAAATGACTGTACATGAATTGTGTAGGTACTGTGCCAGCTGTCAGGTAACAGATGCAGCTCGTCCCCACTCCTCATGCCGTTACTTTCACTCAACATTAGCTAGCAGAACTTCTCTCTTTAAATATTCACGTCAATTTGCAGAAACAGCATGAAGAGTTTCCACACTCTCACATGACAGTAAAAGGGAAAATACTTCAAGAGATTGTTTCAGAAACTGCAGGATTTTGGTTTTGCCAAAAGTTCATACAATTTCTAAAAATTTCATTAGAAAGCAGACTTAAGTTTTTCTGCCTTTTTTTGCCCCCACCCCCCCTTTTGTTTTAAATGGATAGCTACTTCTGTAAGAATGAAAAATAATTTCCCAAATCCAGTCAGTACAAGCCTAAAAAGCAAAGTGAGGGCTAGATAGATGAAAAAATAGCCTTTCACAATATTTTATTAAGTTTTGTTCTCCAGGCTGATGTGCTATCTCAAGCAGAAAGAACTGGTGTAGGTGCCGACTAAGCTTTCCACTTGTTTAAAAATGCTGTAGTAGTATGAACTCAGCATAAACAGTTTTCGTGCTGCAGTTTCAATCTAGAGGCAGAAATGCATGGCATCATTGAAGATTAACTATATTAAAAACATGCAGTGTTAAATTTGGTTGCATTGGTGCAATGACAAAGAGGTGTTCAAGAGGCACCCGTGGAGGTTTAAGGGTGATGATTAACTGGTTGCAGGCGTCTACCAGTAAGGCTTGGACTGGTGCAAGCAAACCTGGATGTAACTGAGAATGCAGTGTCTGGATCACCAAAAAAAAAAAAGTTACTTATTTCTGTTAAAAGCAGCTGCAACTTTTATTTTATAAACCAAAAATGAAGCCTCCCCCCACCCCCTATCACACACACACACGTAGAAAAGGCAAGACCACTATAACCATTCAAGTGAATGATATGGTGCACAAACCTCCAGGCATCATCTCCTCAATACATTACACCTCATTCCACACAGGTAATTCCACTCAAGTACTACAGTCCGTTTTGTTAAAATCTATACGCACGCATACGCACGCACACACGCTCTAGATGCATAATTTCAGGTCACTTTACTGCATAATTGAAAATAATAAGAAAAGGTAATGGAAACATTGCAATGATACTCTTACAGCAACAGAAGTCTGAGGCACTCCAGGCAGAGAGGACATTTTTCTGGCAAATTTGGTATTTGGTAGCACACGAGTCCAGTTCTGTGAAGCACTGACCCCTTTCTCCACCTAAATTCTGCAGTGCCGAGGAGAGCCAAGGGTATGCAGTACCTCATATGCTTGGGTCTAATGCAACAAATTCACCAGACACCTTGTAAAAGGTGTGTTTTGTGCCCATGATTGTATGATTTCATGTCTGCGTGGGTTTAACTGTTTCTTGCATTACAGTGGTGTTAAGACTGAGTCTGCAATGGGGTCTGAAAAACCTTTCATTACAGTTCAGAAGCAAAAATAAATTCCCTCAGCAAAGACACCCAAGACAATGGAAAGGAAGTGGGCATGAGAAAAGAAATGGCGGAGAGTCGAGTCTTAATCAGTCCACATTCCCTTACAAGGCAGTTTCCAGCTCATCATGTCCCATTAGCAGAAAATAAAGGGGTATAAGATACTAACATAGCCCACTCTATACCCAGTCGGTGGAAAAAAAGCTCAGTTCTCACAGCTGCCCCACCTAAGACTTTGCAGAAGCACAAAACCCACTTAACTGAGGGGGCGAAACGACCAGTTTAAAAACTACCAAAAGAAAATGAATACAGCATTGAAGGTGTTTCATTTTCTCACACTCAGACTTCTTTTGAGATATATACTCACTAAGTCTTGCAAATCCAATCCCCCACAGCTACTGTGGATGTACCTTTGGAAAACGCCCCACACTTAACACCTGCAGGGATCCCAGGAATCATGGGATCTTTTTGGTTTGTTTCATTCCTTTACCTAGGAAAGCCTGATACATCAGCTTCACCAAGCTTTTGGAGCAGACTGTCTCCAAATGCTGCTTTGCTGAGAAGCAGCTTATCCCAAGGAGCTGTATATAATATAGACTTCATTAGTTTTCCCTGTAGGAAGCCCATACTGTCAAATCTCCAGCAAAAGAAGGAAGTCCTGCCATTAACAGTGCGTCACCTACAGTCGCAATCACCAGAGGCCGTCAGCAGAGATGGGGACAGAACTGAAGGTAAGGGCAGCCTCTTCGTGGCAACATGCAGGTCTCTCTCCCTCCTGCCCCCTTCTCAACCAAGAAACAAACAAGGCCCAGCCCACTAGAACAGCAGCTGCAGAAGCAAGTCTTTAAGCATTTCTGGTTGCAAAATCTCAGGTGCTGCTCACATACCAAAGAGCAACAGGACACACTGAAGTGGTGGAAAAAAAACCCTGGATCCCAAAGTATCAAGTGTCAGTGGGAAAGGTTACCCACAATTTTCTAGCTATTATCGTGGCAGCAACAGAACCAACTGTGGGTCAAATTGGAAGAAAGGTGCTAAAGAGGTAATTGAAGAAGAAAAAGACAAGTATAGCATGAGTGTTGTAGGTAGGAGGAAAGCAGGAAATTCTTTTAAATTCTTCTCTGCTTTTCCAGACATTGGGTCAGGTTTTTCAAGATATTCCTCTTATCTACAATCAGTGAGAACAAAGTAAATGATGAGATCTCTCTATTCTGTACTCCTTAAAAAATGCATAGTACAGAGAGGAAAAAAAAATATATATATATGTATCGTTCAGCTATACCTGCTCAGTCTAGACTATCATTGGGACATGAAATGGGGACGAATACTATCCAGCCGCCGGGTCAAGATCTCACAGCCTGTATCGGTGACCAGAAGCGTGTGTTCAAACTGGGCAGATCGCTTTCCATCTCTTGTTACCGCAGTCCAGCCATCAGGCCACGTTTCGTCTTGCCAACCGCCTAAAAACATAAATGATGACTTTTGGACTGTTTTTAAGTAACAGGTATCAGTTCCTCAAAGAGAAATTTAAAAATTAAATTTAAAAAATCTGTCAACTATACAGAACAGAAGCAGCATCCTTATTCCATCACTACTTAATAGTAAACAGGAGTAACCATTTCACTCTGCTGCTCAATTGCTCACCTTCACAGATCATTGGTTCAATTGTAAATACATGACCTGGCTTCATGACTCCAACTGCCTTATTTTCTGCAATAAAATAAACGCTCAAGTTAGAAAAAGTGATCCCATCTTGGTAAATTAATGAACCCCTGTCCTAGAAGAACACAGCAGGA